TGACATTGACCACAATGCCCACAGTGCTGGGTGTGCTGTGGTTAAACCACAGAGAGATTGGCCATGGGGCCTGCTTCTCTCAGGCATACTTTATCCACACTCTTTCTATTGTGGAGTCGGGGGTCTTGCTTGCCATGGCTTATGACCGTTTCATTGCCATACGCAATCCCTTAAGATATACTTCCATTCTTACTGACACCCAGGTGATAAAAATTGGGGTGGGAGTATTAGCCAGGGCTGGACTATCAATTATGCCAATAATAATTCGCCTGCATTGGTTACCCTATTGTCGATCCCACATTCTCTCGCATGCATTTTGTCTACACCAGGACGTCATCAAGCTAGCCTGTGCTGACATCACCTTCAATCGTCTCTACCCAGTTGTGGTTGTATTTGCCATGGTCCTGTTGGACTTTCTCATCATATTTTTCTCCTACATCTTGATTCTCAAGACTGTAATTGGCATTGCTTCTAGAGATGAACGGGCCAAAGCGCTCAACACATGTGTCTCCCATATCTGTTGCATCCTAGTCTTCTACATCACTGTAGTAGGACTGACATTTATTCACAGGTTTGGGAAACATGTTCCTCATGTGGTTCACATCACAATGAGCTACATCTACTTCCTTTTCCCCCCTTTTATGAACCCTGTCATCTATAGCATTAAAACCAAACAGATTCAAATTGGTATATTTCGTCTATTCTCTCTACCTTGTTGTAAAGCAAGACTCACTGCTCTCTGAGTAATAATTCTTTGAAAATGATTAAGCTGATTGTGTAGGCAGGAGCCACCAGGTAAAAGGATTTCAAAGCAAACAAACCAGTCCCTCTGCTATTTATGTCATCCTTCTTGGCTATTTATTTTTTTATTTTTATATGATAAAATATATATACAATAATAAGAGCATTTCTTAAGTGTAGAATTCCAAAGTTAACAGTTTCCCCAGGTAATCCATATATCCAGTGAGCCTATGGACCTGTTACATAACTACACACACTTATGTGGTTCTCAACTCTGCAATATGGGTGACAAATATATGAGTAAAAGCCCATAATATTCCATATGGTCTGCAGGTATTGTCACTTATACATCTAGAAATAGGCTCTTTTAAAACCTCAGACATGCACCAAGCTCTCTTGCTCATATAGTGCTGGCTACTATTTCTAGAAAATAGCACTAAGTGAAGAAATGGGTATTAACCTGTCCTCAGTTTAGTGTGGATACTTTGGGAAAATATATCAGTGAAAAGTTTGTCCAGTTAAAGTTTTGATAAGTAATTTTCAAATAATAATGCTGAAAACCATACTTTCACAACAGAGATAAAATTCCATTTCTGGAAAACCATCACCTTGATGAGTTTGTCTCAGATATTGCTGAACAAAGATAAGTATTCTCATGTAGTGAAGTGGTACTAAAAGTCTAGATAGGAAATCCCTCATAAATATGACTTTGTGGGTGTTCTTTTTTATAATTAAAGTAGCAAAGTTGACATTGTTGATAAAGATGGAGGCATAATACATGTAGTAGCAAGTATCTGTATGGTAACGACTTAGCCATCAGGGTGGAGAACTCCATATAGGGATCATGCAAGAGAAAGGATAATTCAATAGCCTAAAAGCTGAACTCTGAATCACTGAATTACTATAACTCCATAACTGTGGTATGCATGGTGGAGGTAAAATCCAAGTCCACTTAAGCCAACCTGGAGAGGAGCACGGACTTGATGAGGGAGAGTTCTGTCCTTATCTTTTCAAGGATGATAGTGCTGCACACAAAGAGAGTGTTGACAAAGCAGAAGTTTATAGACAGCCAGGCAGGGAGTTCTCATAGCTAGAGATGTTATGAGAAGGAAATGGAAAGTTCTTTGTATTGGTCACCATGTAACTGGTGAAGGCATTATGGATGCCAACCGTACTCTCTGTCTTAAATCTATTCCAAAATCTTGGATATTGTTAAAATATTTGAATTATAAGGATGCAATCATGGATTTAAGAAATATTCCACAATTCCTTACAAAAATGTATAATGATCATTCTAGAAGACCCTGAGAAAATGTACAAATTTGGGAAAGTGGACTAAGAGCATCTTTATTGTTTTTGGAGATTGGGAATTAGACTGGTAGTCACTTTATCTTAGTCCGTAAAGTGAGAGCTTGAAATTACTTAAAGCAGAATATTGGCATTGAGTGGATTGATGAGGAAGCAAAATAAATAAACCACAGATAAATAGGAATGTGCAACACCAGAGACATTATTTGCTTTATTAATTCAGGCAGTTTTCTATGCAATCTAGGTCTGCATTTATGTCACAGTCAGATGCTGACAGTCATTTGTTTTTCCTGAGTGTTCTCCTCCAGGCAGTGGTCCAAAAATCCAGACTCTTTCCAGCCTTTAACTTCACCATATCAGAGTTCTTTATTTTCTGCCACATAGAGGGAGCAAGAGTGAATGATAAGAAGTGCTTATGCTTTGTTCAGAAACACATTATTATCTCTACATTATTTGAGGCAGAACAAACAGATATTATCTTAATCACAAGAGCTGCTGGAAATATAAGAGAAATACATAGATTTTAGTTACCAACATTGTATCTGCCATCCTAGTCATAGTTTCTTAATCTGTAAAGGATGCTACAGTAGTACCCGACTTCCAAAGTTACTGTGCATATTAAATGTGCTAATATGTTAGTAATGCCTTGTGCATAGTATCAGCCATAATAATTATAATTATTACTATTACTACTAATATTATTACCTTCTTGACATTTTAAAAAATCTATGTTTAATTTTTACTGTCATGTCATTTTACATATTCATGGGGTATATTGTGATATTTCAATACAAATATACAATGTGCCATTACACATGACATGTTCGAGTCAGGGCAACTGATGTATGCATTACCTCAGACATGATCATTTCTTTGCTTTGAGAACATTTGAAATCCTCTCTAATAGATATTTTGAAATACACGATTAATTGCTGTCAACCATTTTTGACAACTTCTGTACTATGGAACATTAGGTGTATTTCTCCTATATGACTATACCTCTGAGTTGTTAATGACTTCTCTCCATTCCTCATTTTTCCCCAGTTCTCAGTCTCTGGTAACCACCATTCTATTGTCTAGATCAAGGTTTTTATTTACCACACACACACAAAAAAAAAAAAAAAAACATATATTATTTGTCTTTCTGTGCCTACCTTATTTCACTTAAAATAATATCCTCCAGTTCCATCCCTGTTGATGAAAATAACATTTTTTTTAATTTTATGGTTGAATAATGTACCATTGTATATGCACAACAGAGTCTCTACCATTCATCTATGGTGAATACCTGAGCTAATTCTATATGTTGGCTATTATCAATGATGCTTCTATTATTATTACCATCTTTAGATGATCCTAATGTTTCTGTTGAAATTGTGGGGGGTTGGAGCAAGAACATGAAGATCATCATATTGTCAAGAATTAAACATGTATCCTGCCAGTTGCAGTGCTGCACATCTGTAATCCCAGTGACTTGAGAGGCTGAGGCAGGAAGATCATGAGTTCAAAGCCAGCCTCAGCAATTTCAACAGGCTCTAAGAAAGTTAGGGAGACTGTCTCTAAATAAAATTTTTAAAAAAAGAGCTGGGGATATGGCTTACTTGATGGTTAAACCCTGGGTTTAATTCCTGGTACCTAAACACAGAAAATAAAACAACAAACCTGTATCCTTAAGTATCCTTCTCTAAAAAGATAAGTTTAGTTCTTTCTGGGAAAACATCATAGCAAGAGCAACACCTTTCAGGAAAAGTCACTTGCTCTATATTCATGCAGAACCAAACAGGGCCAAGCAGTGCTGAGAACTGTCCCAAGGCTAAGAAAGATTATGGAAATTGTGTGCCTGGGAAGAGACAGGTTGCTCTGTTGGTGACTAAAAGGCAGATGTGAGGTAAACTTCTCTTCTTCTCAGATAAAATGGTTAGTCTAGAAATACTTAGAAGGTTATACCCTGTTCCTTGTGTATAAGGAGGAAAGGGGAACAGGAAGTACTAGAGACTGAAAGGGAACAATTTATATTTTGTGCATGTATGGTTATGTCAAAATGAATCTCTCTACTATGTACAACTAAAGCACTTTAATAAAAAACATTTTAAAAACAGAATACATAGTCTTGCCAATGTTATTCTCCTTTCTATTAGGAACATCTACCCTCAGACACTCTTGGATATGATACCTTGAGTTACCCAGCCACTAAAATGTAGACTTTCAGAAATGTGAAGTCCAATGCAGAGTGTGGTAGATGGACTGAATATTCATCTGTCCAGCACAGAAAAAGAAAGAAACTTGTACCATGTACTCTTTTATGGATGAATCTGTTTAAGTTGCACATTGTATAGTTTTGGATAAATTACTTTACCTATTTAAGTAATTGACACGATTGTCAGTGTCTTCATTATAATGAAAAGAAATCTTGAAGTACATATGTGAGATTCAGTTAGGTAAAAGTGCTCAGTACAATGCCTAGAAACTGTGTGTCCTGAGGACCTAATTGCCTTTATCCTGTTGTGATTACATCCTGAGCTCTTGCAAAGATCCAGGCTCTATTTGTCAAACTTCCATAGAAAAATTCTGGTATTTCCCCTTGTAGTTATAAAGCTGAAAGCTAATGCTTATTCTTATTGCAATTCATTTTGTAAGTTTTGACTCCTGTTCTTCAGCTGTCCACAATGATTTTGGATCCAGCTGCTCCTCAGTGATAACATTTAACACTGATGCCAAGAGGCTGGGGCGGATGATCAGAGGCATCAATGCCAGTGAATACATTGAGGGGAATTGGTCAGCAGCCAGATAAAGGGAGTGGTTTGGAAGGGTGTCTCATGAGGGAATGCTCATGAGCTGGATGGAGAATAAAGAAAAGAGGAGAATGACAAACACAATATAGACATGCCAAGATGAGAGTGATTTCTATGAAGTGAATGAGTAAGACAGCAGAGAGAGAAGAATCTGGCCTTTCTATATATTTTTTGGCATGCATACATGAGTGTGGAACAACAAATCCCATCATTAGAACTATAATGAACCAATAAAAAATGGGAAATTAAGGATAAATAAATAATTTGGGCATGGAACCATTCTGACTGAGAGAAATATCTCAGGGATGATCATAGAAAAGTGTGGTCAAAATTGAGTAGATGTGGAAGTTGACATCAACCAATTGAAAATAATTGAGAATTGACAGACAGTTACATCCATGTGATACGGGATCCATATAAATGGTACTACTTAATTAAAGAGGAGTGAGCTATTGATAAACCCAACAACAAAACAGCTAAACCCAAAGGCTTTATACTGAATTATAGACTGCATGATTTTTGTGGTAGGACACTCTTGAAAAGATTAAAAAAAAAAAAAACTATTGAGAGAGAAAACAGATCAGTGGCTGCCAGAGTTTTGGGATAGAGTTTGTTACCAAAACAGTATTGAGGGAGATAGTTTGGACTGATGGAACTAAATTCTATATCAATTTTACAGTATGCCAATTAACACAGAGAGAAAGACAGAGACATAGAGAGAAACAAGGAAAGAAAGTCAGTATTACAACAAACCAGATCCAATACAGTGTACTTTTTTTTTAACAGATAAGGAAACTGAAGAATATCAATTGTTGGGAGAAATATGAATCATCCACCATGCATGCCTAGGCATACCAAGCTCACGAACCACAATTGAAAAAGAGGGTGCATGATAGGACCTA